TTTAGGTCGGTCATTACGGGGGACGCACTAGCCAGCATAAGAGCTAGTATAGCATACCTAATGCTGTAGAACTAGTGATCCCATTATCTTCCGACCGAGCTAACACTCCACCTTCGGGGTACGTAGTCCTCAACTCGGCGATCCTTCAAGCTGGGTTGAGACTTCTTTTCCCAAAGATTATTCGCCAATTCTTTGCTTCGTGGGAAATTGCCCCTACCCAGCTTTGTGCAAATGGTTGGAGGACTTTGATAGCGACCTTAATTCTATTCATGCTCTCTCCAACAGGCAGAGGTCTTGTAAGTTCGTAATTTCAGACGCGAACTTATTCCAGGCATGTTTACTTCGAACACTCCCACTACTTCTGCCATCGCTTCTTTTCGTAAGCGACTCTTATATTGACTTAAGTATTATATAATTTTTCTCTTACTTAAAACTTCTCGAAATGACATTTTTGTCAGCTTCTATGCCAGGTTAAAGTACAAACATGCTAAATTTTGGGGTAGCAAAGGCGACAGCAGTAGCTGAGGCTACTAAGGAAAAAAGGAAAGTAATTGACACCGAGGTCACCGATCAACCCCAGGAGGTCAATTCGGAGCCTAGCAGAGCAACCACTAAAGAGACACCATTCCACATAATGGTCAGCTATGCCACCCCCCAGTTCCACCCAGTTCTCATAAACCGATTCCTTTGGCTATTCCCACTGCAGTAGCGGCTTCTTCTTCGAAGTCACAAGAAATGTGTCCCAATCTGTAGAGACCAAATGTGGACGATCTCGTGGGGAGCCGTCCTGAGGTATTCTTGGATTTTCTCCGAGCTCCCTCTCCAGCGAGGGAAACGATTGCTACATTACCGTCCCCTTTTATTGATAATACTTTTTAAGATGTAGCAATCGTTACAAAGCATAGTCATTTTATTGATAATACTTTTTAAGATGCTCTGCGTTCCAAGGATGCAGTAAAGGTCTTCCTTCCATATCTTCCAATTCATACTCTCCCTTAAGCAATGCCTTCGTTACTTTGTAAGGGCTTTCCTAGTTCGGTCCCAAAAATCCAGAATTGAGCTGTCTTGTTGCTAGAAAGATTTTTCTTAATACGAGGTTGCCTACTTCGAATTCTCGCTTTTTGACCTTTTGATTGTAATACCTAGCATTGCGTTGTTTGTATATCACATTTTTTATTTCAGCCTCGTTTCTTTATTCCTACCAAATCTAACTCTCCTCGCAACGCTTGCTCGTTTCCCTTCTCACAATATGTCATCGTCTGAGTAGAGGAGATTCCTATCTCGAGATGAATGACAGCTTCCACTCCAAAGGCTAAGAAAAATGGGGTTTCCCCAATGCTGTTCCTAGGTATAGTACGGTAAGACCACAACACACTAGGGAGTTCCTCTGCCCATCTTCCCTTAAGAACCTCAAGTTTAGCTTTCAGTGTATGCTTGATGATCTTATTAATTGCTACAACTTGGCCATTAGCTTGAGGATGATTTGGCGTATATGTTTATTCCCCTTGACTTGCCCTACTCCATGTGGCGTGGGAAACTTGAAGGAGTAATGATGCATTGACACAATTGCCTTGAGGTCGAATAACAGTGGTTCTCCCATGATGGCATTGTATGGGGAATTCGAGTTCATTATGATAAATTCTGCATTCAGCTTAGTTTGGCTTGGGGCTTCACCGACCTCAACTGGAAGCTTGATCTTCCCTTTTGCTTTAACAAGGGCCCCACTAAGTCCTAGTATCATACTGGGATATGACTGCAAAAAGCTTAATGGAATACCCATCCATTCCAACGTGTGGACATAGAGTATGTTGAGGAAACTGTATGTGTCAACCATGATCTTAGGTACAACAATTCCTGCGATGGGTACTGAAATTGTCATTACACCCGAATAAGGATGAGAATTTGCATCATTTTCTTCAAACAGGAGTTGATCGTCAAAAGCACTTTGGCGATGTTTCTCTGAGATGCCGATCTCAGTAAGGTCGGTGACAACTGGCCTTTTCAACTTATTTCTTTTTGCTTGCTCACTTCCTTTTATCATTTGGACTCGATGGCTGGGTAAATCAACATTACAAGCCCTTGGTTCAGCTTGATTCCCGCGTATAACACCCAGTCCACTCGGCATAGGAAATTTCATAGAATAATGGTAGATCGAGATCGCATCCTGTAGCTCATGTAACAGGGGTCTCCCTAAAGGGAGATCTACTACAATAAAATCTACCAGGACCCGTCTTTGACAGGGGGATTCACCCAAATCCAGACTTAAAACAATTTGCCCCCGTGCCTCAATAGGGTCCCCCGAGAATCCCTGCAACCTCTTACAATATGGTCGGAGGTAGTGTTCTTGGATTTCCATTTGCTCCAGCGTTCGGGAATATAGTACGTTCACCGAGCTTCCATTGTCAACTAAGATCTGATGCGCCCGTACCCCTGCAACAGTCATTACAATGACTAATGCATCACTCAGATCTTGTAGAACTCTATATGAATCTTTTTCCGAAAAACTAAATCGTTCCTCACAAAGGGCCAAGCCACCTCAGGTTCTGTTAGTGTCACATTATAATTCTGCCAGGTATGGGCGTTACGCGCCTGCCTCCGTCTGGACCTTCGGACCCTTCGAGACATTGAGTTCTGATTTCAGCTCGGGCGATCGTATCCTGAGCTCGTTTATTCATTCCGGATTGGTTTGGTTGTCGATTATCTATTTGGATTGCTTCTCTAGGCTTGGTGACAAATTCCTGCAGGTGACCTCGACGAATCAAAGACTCCACTTTTTCCTTCAAGTTTCTGCAGTTGTCTGTGCTATGCCCTATAGACATGTGATATCGACAGAACCTCCCTTGAGTCTTCCCCAAGTATTCCTTTTTCCGAGAGGGAGGTCTGTGGAATGCCTCATTTCCCTCTGCTTGTAAGAAAACATCTTCTAGTGTGGCATTCAAGGGATGATATTCATGGAACCTTTCTGGGTATGGTTTGGAACGTCCTTGGTCTTTCCTGTTCCTCCTTTTATCGCGGTTAAAATCTCTATCTACTTGTTTGTCTTTAGCTTGTTATGAAGTTGGATGATTTGAATTTGGCTTGAGATCTTCTTGATCTGACGTAGCTTCCTCAGCACAAATATGTTTCTCAACTTGGCTCAGGAACTTGTGGTACGTTCGAGGTCCATCCTCATGTACGGACCACCAGAACCTCGTTTTTGGCCTTAATCCAGAGAGGACCGCTATAAGTGCGGCGTCGTCGGAGATCTTTTCAACTTCCATGGACTGCTTGTTGAATCTACTAAGATAGCTTTTTAGTGATTCAGTCCTTCCTTGTTTAATGCTCACTAGCCGTTCTTTAGGTGTGGTCTTTGCCTTACAACCCATGAATTGGCCAAGAAATTCCGTGGCAAGGTCACTCCAACTTTGTGACAAAGAACCCATGATGTCGTTTCGCTTTTTCCCTTTGTGGGGATTCGACCTCCACATCCTGTGATAGGGCAGGAACCTGACTTTGTTCCAGCCTGTTGACAACATTTGCTGGCTTTTCAATGGCTTCTTTCATTGCAATCATCTGAGAATCAATGGTGTCTGTTTGACATTGTCCTTGCCTTGTACCTCGCGGGTGGCTAGTATGTTCAGGATGAGTATGGAATTGATTCCCAGATGCGACGACTAATCCATCACAATATTTCCTTTGTGAATTTCATGAAGAAAAGGGGTTGCTTTTTCAAGTTGGAGGCCCTCCTTCTAGCGCCAAACTGTTGATGTTGAAATTTGTATAAACAAATAGTTAAGCCAACTTAATGGAAAATAAAGTTCTTAGTAATGGGAAAGGATCGTGATATTTCTATATTACAACAACAATCAAGGTTATGTTTTCTCCAATATAGGAGATATTTGAAATATGATTTAAAGATACTTAGAGATATTGTAATGCCTCCAAAGGAGTTGTTGTCCCCCTCCCTTTTGGCTTGCATCCCCTATTTGTAATAAGAAATATGCATGTATCCAACCTCCCACGTCTTGTCAGCCGTAAGTCCGAGCTGAAGAAGTACATTTGTTGCCCCCCAATTGGAATGGTAAACAAGCTCGGAATGCCAAGTCATCATGAATTAATCGTGTAGGTGGCCCCAAGTAATTAATGGATTACTTAGGGAAGAGAGTTTAATCACTTGATTGGTAGATTCTGCAGATGCTGATGACAGAACTTTACATATGCTCTAAGCTAATTGGATATTTCGTCAGTGATCTTCAATTATCATGTTTCTTTAAATCTCGATAAACTACATAAACTTTTCATACAAGCAACAATGGCTGAGCTAACTTCAATGACTGACCTCGGATCACAATTACCGAACCGACCTCACATCAAGACATTCTGCTTCCACAGTAATCCGAACTCAACCGACCTCGAAGCTCAGACATCAACAACATTCATACAATAAAATATCATATTTGTAAACTCAATTTTTTTTCCTTCATTTTTAGGCTAAACACACCATACCAGTGCCTATTGCTCATGATAATGTAGCATGATTATACTTTTTAATCATATATTCTTTTAAAAATAATTATTCAAAATATTATTCTTTTTCAATGACAGGCTAAACAAGCTCTAAATAACGAGATTGACAGACCATGCCTAGGATCTCATAAAACAGATACAAGAAGATCCCATAAAAAGGGACAAAGGTCAAAAAGTAGAATCTGACCCCTACAGTAGTAAACCATAAAAAACGAATCGCAGTGTTTCACAAATGACTATTTTGCCCACAAACTTTAGATGATAATTACACTACTTAATCTTTGCCACGTGTAGTTTGAGTCAATGTTTTCCATTGACTCAAAATATATGGTATACATTCTTTAAAGACTGATGGGATTTTTTCTTCAAAAAGAAGAAAAATAAGACTATTTTAAGTCAATTTGAAATTATAATTGTAAACTGATGAGCTAGAAAGAAGAGGGAGTCAGTAAACAAAGTGGGCAAAGAACAAGAAACACCATTACATCTTTATTTCACTTTCTCTCCTTTTCATGTGGTGAACTCAACCCCACCCACCCTCTCTTTTCCTGCAACCAAAAGAAAAGCAAATGGCTAATATATAGAGGGAGAGAGGGCCAAAGGTATGATTGATACAACTAAAATGAATAAGATTAACTATTCTTAGAATTAGATATCCAAAATGTTTGGAAAATCAACAAAAAGAATTTCATTACCTGTGCAATATTTTTCTGTAAGCTGTACATTTCATTATTTAAAGCCATCTCCCATACCTATCTTTCAGGGAAGTACCTGCTCTTTTCCCTATACCTATCTTTCAAATCTTGGCATTCCTTGGTAAGCACAAAAAATACTACCAAAAGAAAGAACCCCAAAAATAATATTTTCCTCCCACACCGATCCACAGAATTCAGCCATCTTCAATAGCAAAAATCCCCAATCGGTGAAAACTAGCAATTTCGCGAGTCCAAAAATGTATTATTCCTGCAAATGGCTTCTAGTTCCACGTGTGCTTGCTCTAATAGTCTGGGGTTCAAGATTCAAATATTCTCAATTTATTTACCTTTCTGCTACGAATATTCTACCTACAAAATCTCGAAACCTCTTGGAATATAGCTTTGGATCGACTGCTGATATAGAGGTTGGGTCAGCCTGCAAGGATTTGTAGGCATGCTCGAGTTTCTTGCTGATATCATAATCTTGCAAAATGTCAATGATCCCAAAGTAGAGGACTACTTCATAGATTTCTCTCCTGTGGGAAGGGGCCAAATTGTTAAATCCATACTGATCAAAGTCACTCCTTCGAGCCACTCGCTCTGCTCGTGCAGGCATGTTGGCCCCTAATCTGATCAGAGGTTTCCTGTTAAAGAACCATAAAGATCCAAACTCAGTGGAATTCATCCAAAGAATAGTAGACAAATAAGTACTATAATCAAACACCTTTAATGCCACTTATAACATTAATCTACTTCCGAGTGTCATCTGACGGAAAGACACCAAACTTTGGAATGCAATATTCAGTCTCATTTTTTCAAACCCAAACAAAGCTGTAAACAGCTTTAACCCCTTGTATCTAATTCAATAACATGCAATTACCAGCTTTCAGCACTACAAATTTAAATATGAGACAGTAGACCATTTCGAGTGTTTTATTAAAAAACAACAAAGAATAACAATGAAAAAACTGACGCTTGCAGAATCCTGAAAGGCAACATATACCATTCTCCAATATTGTCCCACAAACAACTGTAATATAAATGAACAAATCAACAATGTTCCAGTAGACAAAGGCTCTTCCAATTGCGTCAACTACCATGTTGATTCAATGGAAGAACAATAATTGATTTTAGGCCCACTAAATCAGAAAACAAAGGCTCTAACAATCATGCAGTTTTTCATTTGTTTATTAGAAGAAACTAATTGGGTTTTACTGATGAAAGAGTCATCAGATCATAAAGATTTATGACCACCGTCTCAACTTTATGATCACAACTTCCAACAAAAATCATTACAAGATAGCCTAAAGAAATAGAACAAATGAATTACGATACTTGCATACCTTCCAGCTAGAATTCGATCCATGTCCTGTAGTTCTGCTTCAAGGAAACGACATGAATCTCTTTTTCCTGAACAGCAATTGGATCACTTAATATTCTTCCTACACAAATTAATCTATCACACTATGATGCACCGACACAAACACGTGTGTCCGACACACATTCACGCGATTTTTAAAAAAAGTACAGACACGACACGTTGATTAAATTCTTAAAAAATTCTTCATTTATATACTATAAATTTAATATTATACTTATTTTTAATTTTTCTTGTTGAAATTTTTTAAACATAAGTACCTATTTGTTAATTGTTAATAATTTTGAATTAATAATATATAATATTTCTGATATAAAAAGAAAAATGATTACGGTAGAGTGTCCGAGAAATGTCGGTATCAACTCGTGTCCGGTGTCCCAGTTCGACACGTGTCGGACACTAACACGTTACCCTAATTGAAGTGTCCGTGCTACAGAGCTATCATATATAGGAAATTGTTTTTAATTACATGATAAGTTACCTGTACGCAATAGAAATGGGGATAAGCCCATCTTCTCCTGAGTGCCATCATCCCGAAAATGAAGGCCAACCAAGAGACTGTAATCCATGATTCTCTCTGCCTCTAGAAACTCACAATCTCTATCAATTTGCCTGTTAAGAGAATTTACCAAATTGACAGGATGCCCAGATGTTAAAATAGAATAAGCATAGAGTACAAGAAGGAAGGGCAATACTAACTTGATTAATTCTTGGTACCAATTTCTTTGTATGCGAAACACAAAGTTAAGGTCGAGATCCTTAAGAGTTGTAGTTTCATCAATCTCTCCCTCAGGCTTATCAGTTGTACGGCCATGGGTTGACCCTTTCAAATCAAACCTTCTATGGATTCGATATTCTGAGCAGAACAAATTTCCCATCACAATGAACCTAGTCTAATTTTCAATCAGGTAACAAGAAATTATTTACATGGCATGCAGTTGTACCACAACTGTAGAATTGAATTTTTCAACACCAACAGCATACCTTGACGCCACCCACTGGTTTGACACAATGGACACCACAAAACTTGGTGACAAGGGAATTTTCATAGCGATAGACATGCTTATAGTAACTATGAAGCATCTTTATAAGCACCTGGAGAAAAAGATGACCACATTTCAATTTGCTAACAAAAATTGACCACGGTTCATAATATAGTCCATCTAAAATTCTAGATTGAACAAGAATACTCATGAGGTGCAAAATCAATATTTTCATTGCTATCAATGTTATCATGATCCTCAATCACAATTTTCCTTTTGTAAATTTAACAAGTCAACGAGGCATGCAACTAACCTTAACTTCGGACTTCTTTACTGTCTTAATCATAAATCGATCATCCTGTGTTAAGTAAAAGCAGCTTCCACTCTTTCCAGGGGAAGAAAACTCTCTTAGAGCATCATTTTCACAAATTGCCAGCATATAATCTGTGGGATCTACTTGAAATAGTTCCCTCAAATGCCTGATAACCCAGTTATTAAATCACCATTCAGAATTCCAATCCAATGAGGAATCAATACTAAAACCCAAATTGTACTATAATCCTTATTAAATAGGTCATATTCAACAATGTGCATGTACATCTATATAACTGAATATTGAAATTAGAATTTTCATACATTCAATTACCAGAGAGGGTCAATACCTAAAGACCACAGGACAATAATCCTTCCATCGGAACTCCGCAGACTGGTGGGGTGGAGTCATCCTTGATCCTTCTGGAGGAAACCTAGTCCAAAACTTCTCGTTAGGATCAAAATCACCTGGCTTAAGATCCCGTAATATGGAAGCATACTTCCCTATTGAATACCTAAAGCAAAATAATCATCAACTATAATACAATCAAACTGGAACAAAACATTGTGCTTATATATCTGCAAAAAATCATCTTAGAAACCATTCTAATAAACATTATCTCACCTAATACCCAATTGGAGATTGAGCATCAGATCATAATTTTTATGCCCTCTCGATATCGTTTGCCCTGGCTTCTTCACTTCCCCACTTAAACAACTGGGATTCCTCCTAAACTTCCAAATCCCATCGCAGTCCAATCGAAATCCATCCCTATACAACATGGAAGCCTCCACGTTGTCAATAATATCACATGTAATGTCCCCATCCTCGCCATCTGACTCCCAAATGCATATCCTCGGAAAACTCTTGTCCATCATTCCTACGTCCACCGATGACCTCTTCTTCCCCACACCCCCTATTACTACATTCACTGACTCGTTCCCAACTACCATCAATGGCGACAATTGATTAAAGTACCTTTTAAACCCCTCCTCATTCCCGTGTTTGTTGTGTTCAGGATAAAAAGTACCATTCAAGACTTGATTACCATTGTTGTTTTTACTCGAGTCTTTAGACCAGCTGCCAATGTAGCAACTCCCATCAGGCCATGTGAAAACTCCATGGCCCTTTGGAATCCCACTCTCCCAATTCCCATCAAACGTATTCCCATTGTTCCAAACCAAAACACCCCTCCCGTTAATCATTCCACTCTTCCACTCCCCTTTATACTCGTTCCCATTCTTCCACACATACCTCCCTTGCCCATCTTGCAAGTTCTTCTTCCACTGTCCCTCGTAGTAATCCCCATTGCTGTAATGCTTCACTCCATACCCATGCTTTCGATCCGCAGACCACGATCCTTTATATATTTCTCCTTCGGATCCTATATAAGTGCCCGATCCCTCCATTCGGCCCGACTTGAATTCACCTTCGAAGGTTGCCCCTGATGGCCAGGATAACTTACCCTTCCCGGAGGCCTTACCCCTTTTCCAGTCCCCCTTATATATGCATCCGTCCTTCCACAAGTACTTCCCGGATCCGTGTGGCGTATTGTTAACCAAAGTTCCGATATACAGATCCCCGTTATGGATGCGCTTTTCGATTATACTTCTCGCAAATCTCCGAGTTGGAGATATAGTGCTTCCGGATGTTGTCCTGATGGTAGCAAGAGTGACCTTTCGGCTAGTGGCTTGGGATTTGATTCCTGGAATAATGATAATTGATTTTGGTGTAGTGGTGGTAGTGACATTGGGGATTAAATCTATGCATTTTCCCGTTTCTCTCTCTAATTTCTTTTCTTCGTGCTTTGTTTTCTCCGAATTCTTCTTGTCATTTTCTTCAAGCGAGGTGGGCTTTGTCCATAATAACGTCTCGGTCATTTTTCTTAGAGGAAATGAGGATCCTAGACCTCTGAAAACTAAAATATAAATTACGGTTTGTTAAGCTATGGCCGGAAATGATTAAAAACAACCGGATAATCCATCTCCGGCGGCATTCTCCTGCCTAAGCTGCCTTCTATAATTTTCACTTTCAGTAGCTATAATTTATGGCTCGCCAGAGAATTTAAGAATACACAAAATGAGATGTTTCCAGTGGATTGAGGAGGGTGAACAGGTAGGAATCCAGGATTTTTACAGAGAGAAAGGGAAGTAAACAGGGAACTGTAAAAGCAATTGAAGAGAGAGAGGAGGTGTGAACGAACGAATCTTTCTTGGGGGATGAGAAAAATGTGAGCGAGATTAGATTTTACATGGGTTTTAGCTTACATAGGAAAAGTTGATAACCTATCCATTCATTATTATGCGGACAATAATTTGACATATTTGGCACGTAATTTAAATACGACCTAACTAACAAATCGATAAAGTGTTGTAACGTGTTTCTCCTCTATTGTATTCAACTTTTTGTTGGCTATGAATTGGCAATTTTTTGTGTAATGTCGTAACGTAGTTTTCTTTTTTAATTATGTTCAGCTCTGCATTGGTTATGAGCTGGCATTGAATTCAAATAGCTCGAGGAGCGTTACTAGCTTAATGACTCGTCGTATAGGTAAAAACCTAATTTGAAAATTGATAAATGACCGTTACCCTTTTCTTCTATAAGTACGTTCTATTTCTGTGTAAACGGCCACGATGAGTTGGCATTGACTTCGTGTAGTTCGGGAAACGTTGCTAATGCACACATATACATATGCAATAATGACAGATTTGATGAGTCCGTAAAATAGGTGGTGAATTTGAATAGTTCGAAGAGCGTTGTTAACTTAATGACACGTAATCTAGATGGAACACGTTCAATTTTTGCGTCAACAATCACGGTGAGTTAGCATTGATTTCGTGTAGTTTAGGAAATGTTGCTAATGCACACATATACATACACAATAATGACATATTTGACGTGTATGTAAAATAGATAGTGAATGATAAATTGGCGTCACATTTAATAAATTCAGAATCAATTAGTCGACACATAAATATAAAAGGGTCCTTTGAATGATGGCAACTCATAACTTGAATATTTGGACATGATGAAGCTGCAATGTCATACTTTCAATTCTAATCAATGCTTTGCTTAAATAATGTCTCTGTCTACATGGTCTGTAAAGGCAGTAAGACACAAGTTTACAACTCATATGTAGTCTAGTCCCCATTTTGTGACCTAATTGGCAATCAATTCAAAATTTTAATGTCATTTCTCAATTAATCACTTGACCAATATCGTTATCCGGCTTTCAATACATTGTCGTGTATTTTGAGTTATTTGTAAGAGAGTGTCACCCAACGTGAATTGTTAAATGAAAATTGTTTGTTGTACATCACCAATTAAATAATCTTTTACATATTAATCAGGTGTCAAAAGAAGGTGGGGAATTTTTTATTTTTTATTTTTAGTTGATGGGATTTTGATCCGATCAAATATCGTCACATTATCTATTGGTAAATAAATCTGTAAGTTGTAATGTACATGTAGTACAATTGTTTTTAAATGATCTCCAAGAGACTCTTTAAAAGTAAAATATTCTCTATTTTCTATTTTAAAGAGTTTAACTCTTAAAATTATGATTCAAGAGACTGTTCAAATTAAAATTTTAAAATAGAAAGTAAGTTTTACTCTACAAAACTGGAGAGTCAAATTCATTCTTTATGATTAAATGCATTATAATATTCCATTTTTCAATGCTCAATATATTGATCCAACTAAGCCCTTTCGACGACCATTATTTGAAAAAATAGAGTTTTGAATAATGATTTTTAAAAGAATGTATGGTTAAAAAATACGAAAAAATTTTGAACTTACGTGCAAAATATTTTATTGTGTGAATGTGTGGTTGAAAATGAGTATATAGAAAAAAAAAAGTTTAAAAAATAGCTTTCAAATAGGAGCTAAATAGTATATGTAAAGAAAATAGAAGAAAATAATATAATAATTTGAAGAAAAGTTAATGTAAATAAAAGATAGAGAAAAATAGTAAATACATATATAAAGTAGTAAAAGTAAGTGTTAAAAAAAAAGATATTGTTTTAAAAAAAATTACTCTCTGAATTTATAGACTCTAAATTATAAAATATGTTCTTTAAAAATAAATAATCTCTTGAAAATGCTATTATGTGAAGTAGGTAACATGAAATGTACGTTATCGGTTTTTCATGTGATTTATGGATTATTAAATTTTTAGTTACGTGTATGCCGTATACGTTTGAATAAATTCATTTTTTTTCGACAAATACATTTTAATAATTAGTGGGATAAAACATAATTAATACAAACAAAGTTCTCATTATTTATTTGGATTCCAAATAAATCAAATTATTTAGGCCAAAATTAGATTGCAAAAAATTAAATTTATTTATGAATATGACATTGTTTAGCTCACTTGGGGATTCTTTTTTTTTGTAACTTATCTTAAAATGAGTTAATTATCAATGTTATCCTTTCGTTTGTTGCATGATTAAAATCAAATTTTTAATCAATTTTTAAAAATCGATAGGAAATGAATAAATTGCAAAGAAGCACCAATTTATGTAACTCAATAATATACTTGTGTTTATGGAGCCAACTTCGAATTAATATTCTTTTATAACAATAATCTTTCAAGGTAAGTATATATAATTTTGGGATGGTTATATTGCGATCGCAACTTTTATTTGATACAACATATTTTAATTGTAGTTAAAATCACTAATATTTGCTCATTGTAACAATTATTTCTTAATATTTTTTCATTAAATTATTGTCTTCAATTTTTCATTAATTAGTACATCTTATCCTTGATGATTAATTATATCAAAATACATTTTTTTTTATACATTGAAATGAGGGAAAATATTTTTCGCACTTTCTATTTTTTTTATAAATATGATCAAAAAATAATTTATTTTATGCAATTTCAACGGACTTTTGGACATAAAACATTATCAAATATATAATGTGTTAACTAATGAAAAATTTGAAAATAAGAATGAGATGAAAAATCGTTAGGGACATTGTGTTATGATAAGCAAATATTAAGAACTTTAAGTACAATTAAAATGTGGTGAAAGAAATAAAAATTGTGGTGTGAATATAATTACCCATAATTTTATCTGGTCCGAGTATATTTTACTCTGTGACATATTTTGTCCTTGTTTGGAAGAAATTAAAAACAATTTTTTCACAAATTTTGATAAAAGTTGATGGAATGTGTGGTTGAAAAGTTGTGAATTTTATGAAATATTTAGTTAAATTTATTGTTGACTTTGACTTAAATTTTAATTACATTTTTAATGGTACCAAAAATGGGCTTAATCATTATGACAAACAATTATATATAGACTCGTGTGTTATAAATTAGAGAAAAAAAATAGGCAAGTCAATAGACTACATGTATTTTATTAAGAATCAATGTCGCATATTTATATATTACAATTAGGATTGTAGGGATATAATTGTCATTCACAAATATTGTTTTATTTACAACATTCCTCATAAATGACCATTTGCACAATAATATGCATCTTTAAAAATCTTGCTTTGCAGAAACTCAATGGGACAATAACATAAAACAAAAGAAAAAAGTACAAATGATTTAGAATAATAAAATATTGTCTCGTTAAAATATTCTCAAGAAAATCATATGAGACAAAATTTGAGAGAAGAAAAAAGAATACAGCTATTCCCCAAATTTCAATTAATGAAAATCCCTTGTATTGAGCCATCTATGTCTTTTACGTCAATGATTTCAATAACACAGAGTTAATGAAATATGTTTCATATTGTCTTGTTAAAACCTAAGTAAATATCTATTTTTACAAGATATGTCAGTCTTTATTTGACTTTAGTCATTATGATGGTCCGCTAAAAAAAGATTTGATGTCGCTCTCATCGGAAGTCTCGTATGTAATTTATAACATACGAGAGTGAAACCATAAAGTTATTTGAGGATAGATGACCTTTATGTTAGGGACATTTATTATACAAAGATTATAACTTATTAAAATATTATTAGGAGAAAGCTATTACTCATATTTAGCATAATCGCTCCCTACGTGGCAGGCAGATTTGAGGGCCCATACCCTACGTGGCGACACAGACGACCCATTATAAGTATGGAAGCGACCCTTTTCCCATGGAATGAAATCGGACCAACCCCATTTGGATAGACACCCCATGTAGGAGCCGGTCTTGACGAGGCGATGGGTAGATCCCTATTAAATCTTGTGGTGAAGTGATTGACATGGCAATTCATTGTCAACGTCACCTCTGCATACCTACACGATCAAATCTCACTTGCATAAATTAGGACTTATAGATGCGAAAGGGGTCCTAGCATTTAATGCCTTGATTGACTAATTGATTACTGCGACATGTAGGGTCAACCGATTCGATGAGGCCACGTACCCTATCATCCAACGTGCCTCGCTTTTCTTACTCAAATATAAAAGCTCACACTTAGTATCATTCAAAGTTAATGCAAGTTTAGACTCTCAAGCTTATATCCTTGCTACATAAACTTTCAGTATTCTACTCCCAAATCGATCCCCTTTTTCGATTGGCAGCTCACGTTCTAAGCTCTCCTGCATCCTAAATTGCTCCTCTAGCTGGCTCAACCGTTTAACTACCGCTTGGCCCAAGTGTGTTAGGATTTAGCTTACATGGACGTGAGAGGTTTTGGGATCTGTTGGCCACACCATTGATACAATTTTTGGGGTCAACAAAATCTATGGAAAAAAATTTTATGAATGAAAGAGTAAATTATATCTTTAAATATACAATAAAAATTGTTTCATTAAAAACTTCGCCAAAAGAACTCAGTGGGACAAAACCTCTATAAAAAAAAGTGCAATACTTATTTACTCGTCTCATGATAATATCATTTGAATTATATGATTTAAACATGTTA